GCTCCACTCCAGGGAATGTATTTATTTCAGAAGCACCATGTGTTTGTATTTCTGAAACAAAAATGGTTCAGGACTTGGGTTTCTGGAGGGGTTCCAAAAACCTGGGATAGTTCCAAATTGAAAGGAAATTGTGGTGCAAAGAATGAAAATGTCTATGGAGGCAAAATCTGAGTTTTCAGGTGGTTCCATTAACAGTCTGTCTGCACCACAGCAGACAACAAAGATGGGCCTGTGTTTTTAAAAACAGCTCTGAAATTGTTCCCAGTCCCACCTCTAAAATAAATACATGCATACATATGTTTGTGCCTGATGACAATGAGCTCTGTCAGCTCCTCAGAATAAAATGCCAGCAAATGCCAGCAAGATCCTGACCTTAATTCCAGCAGACTTGCCTTCCTCCCCTTCCTGAAGTTTTTTGCTCCCTTCTCAGCCCTGGCTATTTAGATGTTAATCACCAGGTTTTATTAGGCAGAAAAGGCATCTGCTTGCTGTGCTGACCCATACACCTTGCTTAGCACTTCTTCCACCTGGGACTCTTGCTGGTGACTGGAGGGAGAAGGTGACTCCCTGCCCAAGCCCACCCCAGGTTGACAGGGATGCTCTGGGGTTACACAGGTGAGTGGTCTGGTGCACTCTGCCATTGCACAACCATGGTCATAAACCAGTTTGCTGTTATAGGATTTCCTGGGAGGACAGTAAAGTAAACTAGAGAACCAAAGTGTGTGCTGGATCCTTCCTTTCCTATTTGAAAGCCTGCCTAAGAGCTAATTTGCTTGCTAATTTATTGCTTAGAGATGCAATATCTGCCATCTGTTTGTTTCCTCTCATAGCCATGCTCTGTGCTGGTTCCCATTCCCACCCACATCCAGCACAATAAAAAGGTATCTGCATACCTGGCCAAAAGCCCTTTCATGGCTGCTCTCTGGAGAAGGGGCCTCCTGGGCACAATGAGTGTGTTTTCCCCGAAACCACTGGGCTGCCCTGCTGCTGTGGAAGCAACATGTGCAGCCGTGGCTATGGAGTCACCAGCTGTAGATACACTGAATCACTTATATTGAGAGCAGTAGCAGCCAGGGCAGGGGGATGCTGGCCTGCCTGGGCTGTGCTTGCTGCTGCCTTGTGAGCAGGTGGGAGGCATCTCACCTGCCATGGGGAGCCATAGGATTTGCAGGGCAAGTTGCAGCCTTGCCGTGCTGGCACAGTGCTTGAGGCACAAAGTGCTCTGCAAACATCACATTTCCTGATATGTCCCAGCCTAGATAAAGGATTGCAGGTGGTTTCTGTTATAGGCTGTGAATATTACTGTAGCAAATATTTCTGCTGGAAATACCACAGGATTTTGGTAGTGTTTTGGTTTTTTTTTTAAAGGGTGAGACTTGCATGCCTGCTGACACTTGCAGGACAGCCTATCTTTACAAAATATTTGCACAATATCAGCTCTTTTCTAGCCTTTAAACCTATCAAAGCCTTCTGATGCTTTGAAAACCATTATGGGTGAGCTTAAAACACTTCTGACCAATTCCGTGCAAGTCCCTTGCCTTGGAGATGTTGCTCAGCGCAGACAAATGCACAAGTGTGGTGGCAGCTGCTCCTGCTGTGCCCTGGGCACCCCAGCACCCAGGAGGACGTAGTGGGGCTGTAGGGCTCTGCCTCCAAGCCGCCTGCTGCTGGCCCTGCCTGGAGGGCTCTCCTGGTGGGGTGTTGGGAGCTGGCAGCTGGTGGCATCCTGGGTTTGTTTTGGCTGACTTTCACGTGAGCATTGCAAGAACATCATCCCAACTTCACAGGGTGAAAAAAAAGGAGTCTTGAAAAATCCCAGACGAGGCGTGGGACGGTCCCCCCTGGGTGGCTGCGGCAGGAGCAAGGGCAGAAGCCCCGAGAGCCCCTGGGCTGCAGCCGGGGCTGCTGCTCCAGCCCGCGCTGCTGAGCCGCGTTTCTCCAGCTTCCCAGGAGATGGCAGCCCAGGTTCATTCATCTACACTCGGGGCTTGCAGCGAGCAGCCGAGACCTGGGGAGCAGCCCCGGAGACCCCCAGCGAGGGAGGGGTTGCCCCTCTGAACCCCCGTTCTCTCTGTCCCCTCCTCCTCCTCCCCCGCGCCCCACGGGGCTGCTCAAAGGTCTTGTTAACAGAAGGTCCTGAATGTCCCTGCGGTTCCCTGAAGGCTGCAGGGACCGCAGCCCCCATAACCCGTCTCCCCGGCTCTGCTGATGTCCCCCCTGCTCGGGTGGCACCGGGGACCTTTGTCCCGGGCCGTTGTGCAAGGCGGGGTGGGAAGGGACGGGGCTGAGACAACAAGCAAACCGGTTACACAACTTCCCCGTGTCGTCCCAGGGCTTCTAATTATTGATTTGGAAAGGGAGGAAACAGGTTCCGGACTTGCAGGGCAAACACGAGTGTGACTCTGCTGATGTCCCCCCTGCTCGGGTGGCACCGGGGACCTTTGTCCCGGGCCGTTGTGCAAGGCGGGGTGGGAAGGGACGGGGCTGAGACAACAAGCAAACCGGTTACACAACTTCCCCGTGTCGTCCCAGGGCTTCTAATTATTGATTTGGAAAGGGAGGAAACAGGTTCCGGACTTGCAGGGCAAACACGAGTGTGACAGTTTAATCCTCTCCCCATTTTTTTCGGGGATCTCCTGTGTGTTCTGGCTGTGGAGGACAAGGGTTGGCATCCTGGTGTCAAAGGCCCGGGAAGAAGTGGTGGTGTGGGCAGGCTTGGTGCAAGGGCAGGGAGTGTTGGTCACTCTCTCTCTGGTTTTGTACCGCACCAGGAGGGTGGAATCAGGTGAAATGCCACAGGTATCCTAAGCTGCCTGCAGAGCCTGTGTGACTCCCTCAGGAGCACTGCCTGACCTGCAAGTACCTGGGGCATCAGCCAGGATGAGGCTTGGGACAAACTGGTTGCAGGAAGAGCTGCTGCCCACCCCCTCGTCCTCCCCGTGTCCCCTCCCCCTGTCAAACTGCTGTTTGATGCTGCAGTGAATGAGTTCCATGAGAGTCCAGTATTTTGAAAGCAGTCTCCAAGTTTGCTCCAGGCCCTGCAGCAGCCAGTGAGAACATCCACACTGCAACTGTGGAAGAGACCAAGGGCATCCACCACCCAACAGGGGCTGTGAGCAGCCCCACTGCTGCCAGGCAAACCCACCAGGGTTGCCTGGGAGACTCTGGGTTGGTTGTTTGTTGCCTTATTTGTTTGTTCTTGTAGGGTTTTTTTGTGTTGTTTGGTTTTGTTTGTTTGTTTGTTTGCCAGGCTCTGAGGGCTTTCCATCAGTCATGTCTGTGTCAGGAGAAACCCCCCCCTAAGGCATCAGCCACTGGAGAGCTGCTTGCAAACCCTCCCATATGGCTATTCAGTTTGTCACTGAATCCACAGGGCTTTGCTAGCTGTGGAAAGCCAGCAGTTGCAAAGACTGGCTGTAACCAAATTTAGCACAGGCACAGGGCTGTGGGATCTCTGTCTCTGAAGTTACTTGCAACAACTCATCTAGGCACAGTCCTGAGCTGTTGCTTTGGTCTTGAAGCTTGCCCTGTTTGAAGATGTACTACAGACCTCTGGGACACTTCTCTTGTGGCTCTATCATTCCCAGCACCTGGAACTTAGGAACTGTCAGCTAAACCTTTACTAGGGGTGTAACTGAAACCTTCAGCGAGAACCCAGAGCATCAAACACCATGGAAAAGATACAGTCTCAAAGTTGTCCTACCACTGGCTTCTGCCTGTCCCAGACTTATGTGAGCTCAAGTGCCTCATGGGGGGTCAGTTCTCTAGACCCTTTTTGCCCAAGGATCTCTGTGAGTGCAGTCACCAAGCTGCTGCAGCTGCAATGCACAGCACTGATCCCCTGCTCCCTTCCAGAACAAGGAGTAAACGTTTTCAAGAGCCTTGCTGGCATCTTGGTTTCAGTGGGAAATCATGCCCTGATTCACTTGTCCAAGTGCTAACAGCTCTGTGTGATCCCACCCCGAGCCTGAAGCAGAGAAGCAGCAGCACAGCAGCCATTCCCATGTACCTCTCATGGGGATGACTGAGCACAGGCATTTTTCAGCTTGTCGTGTGATTGTCTAAGCCCAGCTCATTATCCAAGCCTCTGGGGATGGTGGACAGCCCACTCCACTTTGAAGGAAAACAATGGTTTTTCAGATATGGCTGAAACCCTGCATCTGTGGATGGCTTTGAACTACGTTATAAACTCAAGGAAACTTTCACCACATCAATTCAGTCTGAAAAATCGGTGGCCCTGAAGCTGTTGTGCCCAGGGAAGGGTCAACAGCCAGCACTGCTGGTGTTGGCATCGCAGACTCTTAGAAACTTCAGGCATGTGAGGGAAATACACCCTGGTGTGTAGGACCACGCAAGCAGAGCCAGACAAGGGCTGGGGGAACTGTGGGTGTCCCGTGGAGTGGGGGGGCCATGTCTGCCCTCGAAAGGCTTGTCCCAAGCGGTGCCTCTGGCCCGTGTGAATCCAGTGTGATGAGCTCTTCAGCCACGCTGCAATGCAATGAGCTTCCCCGCTGCTGGGTAGCACCTGTAGGTGCTCAAACACGAGGACGAAGCCCTGCCTGAGGCTGTGCCCCACGCGGGGGAAGGGCTGGAAGGGCCAGGGCTTGCGGTCAGAGCTACCCGAGCGGGTCCCTGCAGCCCTGAGGAGCAGCTCCTGTGCCTCCAGTAGGGCTGGCCTTTCAACAAGCCCAAGACGGGCACCACCCCCCCAACTACCCGCTAAGCTTTTTTTTTGTTTATCACCATTCTTTTTGTTCCACGTTTTATTTTTTTTGCGGCCCCGGGCTCCGCGCACCAGCCGTCAGCGCTGCCTTCCCCACCTCCCCTCCCTCGGCCCCGCAGGTTCCAGCGCTTCCCCGGCCCCTCCCCGCCGGCAGGGGAGGGAGCGGGTGCGGGACCCACATCCCCCCT